GCTTTTCAGCTAGCAGATTAATCACCATCTAGCCTACTTGAATCAAATACAAGTTTCAGTAACTTGGTGATATTTATTTTTACAAAATCCAACTTCTTAAACATGAAGGTATTTGAGGTGGTTTAATTCTGCTAGAATGGCAAACTGTTTTTCTCTGGGTTGTGGACAAAAATAAGATGTCCTAGGATGTCATCTCAACATTTTTTCTTTATTCTCTGAAGCCGGCGGCAAGGTGTTCTAGTGGTTAGCGTTGTTGCCTCACAGTGAGGAGGTTCCTGGTTTGAATCCCCGTCTGACAGGAGCCTCTCTGTGTGGAGTTTGCATGTTCTCCCCGTGCATGTGTGGGTTCTCTCCAGGTACTCCGGCTTCCTCACACAGTCCAAATACATGCTCGTTAGGTTAACTGGTGACTCTAAATTGCCCGTAGGTTTGAGTCTGGCTGGTTGTCTGTCTCTATATGTCAGCCCTGCGATTGACTGATTGGTGAACAGTCCATGATGTAACCCCGCCTCTCACCCAGTGACAGCTGGGATCGGCTCCAGCCCTCCACGACCTCAAATGGGACAGGTGGTATAGATAATGGATGGATTTTATAAGCCAGATAACAATCTCTCAATACATTTGGTGACTGAATAATCTACCATGTAGATAACTGTAGTTGCAGCCATCATATTAAACCCACAGAAAGTAATTTTAGGGCCAAATTGGAAACTTTTCCATCAAGATTTGGTATAACTATATCTGACCCCAGAAACTACAATCCATTACCACTTTGAATCCCAAGTTCCCCTGCAGTAAGTCTGAGCATGGGGCTGCTGACACCCGGCCGACAGTTTACCAGCTGTATGCCTTGACTCCCCAACATGAGCAGATGGCCTCGGTCCTCCCTGACTGCTCCTCCAGCCGCTCGTATGTCCATACCAACATGAAACATGGCTGCTGGTGCAATCGGTCAGAGAGGAGGCGAGGGCTGTTAGACTGATGATGATGAAAAGAGTAATAATAAATCCCCTGACTCCATCCTTTATCCTGAGGGACGTGTGTGTGTGTACGTACAGCTTTACCTTCATGTTAATAACGCGCAGAAAACAATCCTGCAGCGCTGAAAGAAGGCAGAATTTTGAAATACCCCATTAATCACGCCGCTCTCCCACTTTATCCAACACATCATGAATCATCCCTTTAAGTAATCCACTTTCAGCTCTAATCCCCCGCTATCCTCGCCTCACCTTTCGTGTATTGAATTAAAAGAGAGAGTCATACTCTCACCTAGATTATGCATTCACTGATTAATAAATAAGTTTGTCAAAGCGCCGATGAGTCACCCCAAAGAAAGTTGATCTGGATTCTATATGGGGGAGGGGGAATTTCTCGAGGGAGCTGGAGGATATAGATTTGTTACATTCAGAACACAGAGAAAGATGTCTCCGAGCTCCTCATACAGTAATTGTATCGAGTTAAATGCCGACAATCCTTCCACTGGGAATCGTACCTGTGACTGTTTGATTGGTACCTCATTAAATATGTATGTTGGCTTTCCTTTTTATCCCCATCGCTGCATCTATCCCCAAACAAACACATCAAATCCTGATGGCACAACACAGTAAATAGTCAAAGGAAGTAGGTCAAGATGGAGAACAAAATAATGACAGAGCAGGAGGGACGGGAGTGAATGCAGCCGATCATCAGGAGAGAGAGATTGAGCCCTGAATGATGGATTAGTCAGCGAGTCAAAGTGGAGCAGGAGAGAGAACTGAAAGATGGATTTGTTAATCTTCTCTCTCCCTATTGTTGTTTCTTTTTATCTACTTTCTCCCCAGTGGATAGGAGTATCTCTTCTATCGTTCCATCATAACGGGCACAGATCTGAACGTACAAAACTGTGATTTCTCCCAACCAATCAACAGCTTGGTCAACCAGCACTTCAAAATATGATGATCCAGCAACTCATCTAGAGTCATATATAGTCTGGTGTCATTATTCCAAGAGTGCATAAGTCATAGTAAAAAACATGGCTGTCACCCTTTGGTTTCTGAAGAGGCGTTATGAAGCCAAACGATGGAGGTTGCCAAAATTTGAAATCTCAAACTATCTGTCAATCAATCTAGAAATAGACCTCCTGACCAACCTGACTTTTTCCCACTGCCCCCCTCCTTTCGGAGGTTTTTCACAGTAAAACTATGTATCTGTCTAGACCTAAATGTGTAGTCTTGCTGGCAAATTGGGATATCTTGGGTTTTGGCACAAGCCCCAAGTGGACGCTCAAGTAACTGCAGATATTTTGCACTTCTGCTTCGGCTTAATTTTTCCACTTCAGAGGTTGCTGCATGGCAAAAATCCTCAAGGGTTGGATGTAGGGGCCGATGGATGTGTAAAAAGAATTATAATATTTGGGGACAATAGTTTGATTCCTGTGTGAAAGCAACACTCAACGTGTGTTTGCTGTAATACATACTTAATCCTAACAGCAACCTTTCCTTACATCCTACCAGTTCATTGAAAGACTAAAACAAGGATGGGGTTGAATGTCCTCCCAATGCAGAAAAGTCCTCACCACAGTGGTTTAAAACTGAAAAACGTCCTCACAAAGAAAGCAAACCAAGTCCGCTGGTGTAGTGTACACACACACACATTTAATCTGCTCTAATCTCCTTCTGTCAAGAGTTGCTCTTCTGTCTGTATTTGAGTCTGGAGTTCAATGCTGCAGAAATCTCTAAATAATCAACTGGTTCAGAAAAGACACAGAGGAATTAAAGCTTTAGTAAGATTATCCACACACACACACACACACACACACACACACACAGCCGTCCTCTCCCAGATGACCATTTGACCAGTTCGTTCCATGATGGAGCACAGCTGACACTCGTGGTCAGTTTAAACTGAATTAATATCTAATGCATATCTGATTGACTTCCATCTGCTTGTGTTCACATTAACAGTCTAACATGCCCAATTAGACCCTGCTAAGAACATTTAATGCATCTCAACTCAATTACCTTGTTCCTAATTCTACTACTACTTTAATTCTGTGAGTCAGTGAAGTACAAAAAGGCCACATATATGCATAAAAAAACAAAGAAGTGGAAGGGGTTTCATCATAGACTTTATCTGCTCTGTTAAGCTGCTTGTTTGAAGGAAATATCCGTCCAGGTTTTGGGAACATTCCCTTTTAAAAATAAAAGGATTATGATATTCATGGTTGTCAAAACGAGTGTTCAGATCATTTAGAGACTCTTGGACTGTTTAAAATACTTTTATTTATTTCTTAATTCATATGCTCTTACCTTCATTCAAGTGAACCACAACAAACCAAAAACCATAAACATGGTATTCCTATACAAATGGAAATAAATGTCAAATTTCCAGGTCCTTTACCATCACAGCTGTAATAATTCTATAGTCTCTTTTTGCAGCAGGAAACTCGTGTTTCTGCTTTTTTGCCTCATTATGAATTTATTAATGTATAGTGACATTGGTTCGGGAGGTCGTGGGGGGCTGTGATTTGCAAAGGTGATTCCTTTTGTACATTATTCCTCTTTGAATTACATTAAAGGTCACATATCATGAAAAATACACATTACTATGTAATATGAGTCCCTCGTCTATCTACAAACCCCCCCAATTATGAGAAAAGTCCATCCTCTTCGTCTTTTGCCTGTTCCACTTTTCAGAAAATGTGTGCTCAAACAGGCTGTTTGGAGATTTTCCCTTCATGACATCACAAAGGGCAGTAACCCCTCCCCCAGGTGGGTGACACTCCCACAGCTAGGTGTTTGTTCTGCCCTCTGAGTCTGCCTTCTCACCGAGCGTGAGACCATGGAGCGAGAAAGCCAGAGCTAACCGAGCCCTTCCAGAGAGGGGCGTGGTCAGACACAGCTCATTTACATTTAAAGGTACAGACACAGAAAGAGTCTGTTCTGAGCAGGGCTGAAATAGAGGGGTTTATAGACATGATCAAATACAGGATCAGAGTGGATTTAGAACAAGAAACTTCACAGACATGTTTGGTGAGCTCTGAGACTTATTTTGACTGGTTGAAAAGTAGAGTATAATATGTGACCTTTAAAACTTTATATCCAAGGCATTACTATACATAACAATTTGGGTTGTAAAGAATGTAGGGAAATTAAATTAAATTTGAAGATGCATTAAAAATGACATCACCAATGAGTGTGTAAGTCACCTTGTCCTCTGAACTTTGCTCAGAAGAAAGCAAATATCTGAAATGTAAACATGAACAGAATTTAAACGACTTCTGGAGTGTGATGAACTTAAAAAATGTTTTTTACAATCAGAACTGTTTTGGATTAATGTTGTGTGCTGCAAATCTTGTGATTTATTGAGTCAAATAAGGTTTACTTTCAGTTGTGTATTCGAGAGATTTGGAACTTTTGAAAACACAATGAGAAAAAAACATTGTGGTGCCTACATTGTACCATTTTGATTACAGGGTGCTCTAAAGTCTTACTGTGGTTCTTCCATGGGTCCTAAGTTTAACACATTGCACAGTTTTTGTCCAACTATGACTGGCAACATGTTCAGAATGGGCCCAAGTCTTGACACAACATTTCAGCCTGTGAGGACTATAAACAACACAAGTTAAAGGATGCTTTTTTATGCCCTTTTATGGTTTTGTTTTCTTTATGATTTGGTACTAGCACCTGCCAATCCTGAATGAACGGGGTTACATGTCTCTTCTGGAAGGAAACAGAGAAACTGAAAGTGTTTGAATAAATCGGGTGGAGATGCCCCCTCCTCCTCCTCCTCCTCCTCACGCTGGATATTTCTCTCTGAACTTCATCTGATGGTTTAACTCTGTTAAAACCCTGCTGTATATTTATGCACATACACATGGCTGTGCCCTGTGCCGGCCCTCTGTATGAAATATGAAGTGTGTAATAATTTGCATGACAGTCAACATGCAAGTGCAAAGAGTGTATCTAATGCTGCCTTTGTTTGCCTTTTGTTTTCTCTCTCTCTCTCTCTGCCTGTTCCAGGGGTCAACAACAATATGCCAGGTGAGTTTCATGAATACAAAAAAAAAAAAAAAATCTAAATATGATTCACATGACGACCACAGCTTTTATTTGTTCAGCTGTTTTCAGGACTAGCTGGCCGCTAACACAGTCTGTGCTCAGTGATTCAGCAATATGAGGCCAGTGGTACAAGCACATGGAGATTAAATATGAAGGCAGTGTGTCAGGTCAATTAGAATCCACGCATGCTGGGTTTTCTAATCACTATTCAGGGTTTTATTCATAAAGAGGAAATTACAGCACAACTTCCTGATTGCTTGCAAATGAAAATGCAGTTTCATGTTTCTAAGAACTGCCATCCACAAAAGGGGACAAGGTTTAATGAAATAAACAGTAAGTTGTTCTGATTCTCAAGATAAGTGCCATTAATCCACAACAAATGGAGAAGGTGCAGTTACACGTCTTGTCTAATATCTCCAACACTTAAAAACAACACAGACAAGGTATTCTCACAGTGCACAGTCACCTGATTAAACGAGTAAACAGCTAGTGAAACACATTTTTGTTTATCACAAATGAAGATGCTGAAATGATCAAATATTTCCAGAGTGTTTCACTCTTGAGCAGATGGGATTAGGGAGGGATGAAGTGTTTGATTTCTTACAAACATGTCAGTATTTCTTCTGAGGAAGCCTCCTGCTGACTCACATGCAGGAAGCTTTGTGTGTCCGTGTGTGCTGATGTCATGATTTCCTCCTGGAAAAAACATGTTTCATCACAATACCGCCGAGTATTGAAACTAAGAGTTCTCTGTCACTTTTGTCTCTTCCCTCGGTTTCCTCCTGAAGGCCTTGCACACATGATGGCAGAACAAGGTATGCTGCTCTTTTTCCTCTGAAATCTCATTTCTTTTTGTTGTTTGTGTTTGTAACATGTAGCTGCATGTGTTTGTGTTGCTGTGATAACTATTGTTTATTTAAGCCTATGGTGTAAGTATATTGTTTCGTACAATGCAACTATATTTTCTACTGTACTGCTGGAAGACAAAACATGAAAACTACACATTTGGTGTAAACAGTGTCGATAGCCTCGTACAGTTTGAAAAATTGGCCCTCGCTGTAAAATAAACCTTTGACAAAGTGAAATGACGTTAGCTTATATCCAGCGCAACAAACTTTACTTTTTCAGGTTAACTCGGATTTCCCAATTGGTTGAATTTGACTTTTTAAGGAATCTATGAAAAGGTGATTTTGTTGCCTCCATAAGGAACTGTGTCCGCGGACACCGTTTTTTTAGCGTGTGATGGGAACGCCCATTTTCAATACAAAATCAACTCAGTCCGGTGTTTAAAAAACCATCATCGTCAGCGTTATTTAAAGATAAGATAAGATAAGACTTTATTGTCTGTTTGCATGCAAATTTTGTCTTGCATTATAAGCTCAGGAATCTTCAAATAACAAAGAAGTAATTCACCTTTCCTTTTTCCTCCTATCTTATGTTTGCATGTTGATGATGTCATACTTTCCCACATCACATGCTGTTTACGATGTGGTACATGCTGACAACAGCATACTGTAAGCAGAGCTTTAGCTTAGCTTTAGCTTAAAGTTAAGTTAAAAATACATTTCAAGCTTTGGAAAATGACAATATATAACAATTATAGCTGTTAGCCTGACTGTTTTTATTGTGGAGTTCAAAGGTCAACATCATAGCTTATTTAAATTATTACATGTTTTGTTTAACAGACTAGTAGTTAAAAAAATGAACCTCATAAAATCTATTGATAGGTCGAAATTTTCCCCAACAAAATCTGCAGAGTAACTCCATCTTTTCAAGTATCATGTAGACATATAGTCTGTGACATTTGAAACCTGTTAATGAGTTTAAACCTTCTTCTTCACACAACCATTTGTGTAGTTTGTGTCCTCTTCTTTGTGTGTAGCTCTGTGTGTGTGCAGTGTTGATGAGACAATCAGAAATCCCTTCTTATCTGATGTGTTTTTGCATGTGTTTTTGTGATGTACAATTGCATTTCAGTTGCTCCTGTACAATGATGTATCCCTGTGACATGTATTTCTATATACATTGATGTGTTTTGGAGTTTGAACTTATGTCTCCTCCTCTTTTTTTCCTCCTCCTCTCTCTCTCTCTCTCTCTCTCTCTCTGGACTCTGTTGGACTGTGGATCCTCTCTTCTGTCTCCGCCTTCACCTGCTGCTCCTCTAGCTAAAAGCAAAGGTACAGCTTTTTCCCAATCTTTCCTTTTCCGCCTGTATGAAAAGCGCCGCTTGCTCTGTGAGTGTTTGAGAGCTCTAATGTGTTTGCTTGTCAGTGTTCAGTGTTGCTTTTGTAATGCTTTCTCACTGAGGGTGCTTGGATTAAGCGAGTAATTAAGCCAACCTTAATTGAAGGAGAAAGGAAAAAAGAGAGAGTGTCTGGCTTTGTGTTTTCTTGCCGTGTGTGTGTGTGTGCGTGTGTGTGTGTGTGGAATGTATCAAAGCACTGTATGCAAACACACTGTGAGACAGTTTTGTGATGCAAAGTGAACAACAGTCACTGTGGATCAGTTTTCAAAAGAACAAGCGTTGCCTTTTTCCTCAGTAAACCGGCGCTTTTACTCGTTGCTGACGTCTGCATAAGCTGACTTCAAATGAGGACGTTTATAATTCCTTCTTACGGCTGCCTGATGGTAATATTTACAGGACGGAGGCATTGTCTTAAACTTTAACTCCATTAACTAAAGGGATTTTTCTGCATAACTCGTTTGTTGTACTGCAAAAAAAATGCTGCCAATCAAACCAAAAAAAACCCGCTTGTTGCCGTGTTTTTGTTTTTTGTGGGTGAACCTTTTCGTGTGTGAGCAATGACTCACTTCCTACTTTGCTCTTTATCTACAGGTGTGACTCCAAAGTTGTTTCATGTGAATACTCTGTGTGCTTTCTGTCTGAACAGGTCTCCAAAAAGAGATCTGGAGACTTTAGACTGAGTCAGACTTGAGTTGAAAATGATGGGTCGTGTGACATGTCTGACTCTAAACCTGCAGACAAGGCTTCAGAGACTTTTGGTAAAAACACATGGATGTAGAAAATACTGAGCCGTTCTTAGTTTTGCCTCTCAGATGGATATAACGGTCAGACGTGAGTGCTGTCAGTTGCACAATGAAATTCAGGAAGTGCAGGGGAGGACTTTGCCGCTTGTGTTGCCTTTGTAGTTGTTGGTATATAAAGGTTCAAATGACCATTAAAAACTAACCATTTCTTCTGTCATACCAGCAAAAAAAAAAAATGTTTAGACAGATCAAGAGAGACCCCTCCCTCTCTCTCTCTCTCTTTCTCTCTCTCTCTCGGTCAGTGCAGCAAGCTGGCATCCACGCGCTGAGCCAAATCTGATCCATCATTTTTAATAAATATGTTGTTCGATAGTCACACTGTTTTTAACAGATGTAAGTATTCTTGTGCCTTTGTCTTTTTCTCAGTTTTCCGATTGTTTTATGCGCCAAGTCGAATGTTTTATAGTCATGAGTATTTGGGTTGCTGGTTGACTTAGAGGAATAAAAATATTGATATAAAGATTTTCTGAAATGTCAATGGAGGATTTCAGTTGGGGAAATTTGCTTCCAGAACCATCCATCCATCCAGACTTCTCTCCCCAGCAACATTTTCCCGATCCTCCTGGTGCATTCTGACTTGTTCCCAGGCTAGATGTGATATATAATCCCTCCAGCGTATTCTGGGTCTACCCCGGGGTCTCCTCCCAGTTGGGCGTGCCTGGAAAACCTCCAGATGGAGGCGTCCAGGAGGCTTCCTAATCAGATGCCCGAACCACCTCAACTGGCTCCTTTCGATGCAAAGGAGAATCAGCTCTACTTCAAACTCCCCCGTAATGTCTGAGCTCCTCACCCTATCTCTCAGGTTTAGCCCAGCGACCCTCGGAGGAAACTCATTTCAGCCACTTGTATCCGCGATCATATTCTTTAGGCCACCACAGCTCATGACCATAGGTGAGGGTTGGACAAAGATCGATTGGCATATCAAGAGCTTTCCCTTCAGGTTCAGCTTCCTCTTCACCACAACAGTCCGGCACAACGACTGTACTAAAAGTGGATGGTCGCTGTTGAGCTCTTTAGAGAACACATACAGTCTGAACCTTTTTATTAAAGACAAACACAAATTGATTCAGGTTGAAAACGGTGGACGTTACAGATCCCGATGGTAGCACACAGAAAGTGTTAGCGGCTCCGATACAGAAATGTGTCTTCATGTGTCTGCCTCATGAAGCTGGAAGGTGTCGCGGCCTGCTGTGTTCACCTGTACAGGTTTCCCCCCGTTCACAGAATAAAAGCTTCTGTAAGCTCCTGGAGATCCCTCTCCCCTCACCACCTGTCTCTCCTCTTCGTTGCTGTGTCTAATCCCTGAGCGAGATGCTCGACATTATTAGGCATCAGGCTCCCTGTCGCCTCCTGTTAGGCAGACACAGTCTTCATTCTGGCTCTATTTGCATGGCGGCGGCTGGTGGCAGGGCAGCAGATAGAGAGAAAGAGAGGGGGGATAATAGGAAACGGTGTCTCTGTTGTCGAGGAGTCCCATTTTACTGTCATGGGTTGAAACAGAGTGCTTCTCCCCTCATTACATTTTTTCTTGGACTCTTTTTTTGTCCGACTCTATTTTAATATTCTCTCGGTCACTCTCCCCTTGTTCTTCTTCTTCTTCTTCTGTTATCTCCGCCGTTCCCTGCTGTCTCTGTTGTCATCTTCATTTTCACTCCTCATTCAATCCATAATTACTGTATCCTTCTTTTTTTTTTTTTGCCTTTCTCTGACCTCTTTCTGCTTCTTCTAACATTACTGCCAGTTTCCAATCTTCTTTTTCAGTTTTATTACCTTCATTCTCTGTTCTTGTTCAATGTCTCCATGCAATCTTATCCAGCCACCATTTTAGTGTAAGTACATCTTTGATTCTGGACGGAGCATTGGAGCCAACATAGAACTCACAAGGTCATTGAACATGTGATTATAAAGTCACATTATCCAGGATCAAACAATGCACTGGACAATCAAACACTCCTGCTGTATTCCTTTGTTCGCCTGGTGAACATGACACTGTGATAACTTTCCAGAGTTGTGAAACCCTTCTGCACAAAGCAAATGATAAACTTTCATGCTGATCAACTCCATTTATTTATTTGTTTTTTTCTTCACCAAAGCCGTCTTTATGACTGGTACTTATCAGAAACTGAAATACACATAGATCTGACTTCAACCTCCTTCTGTGGGAGTTTACAAAAGGAACTCCACTGACTATTGTGAATGCTCCGCCCTGATTTGATATATATGTCAGCCCTGTGATTGACTGGTGACCAGTCTAGGGTGTAACCCGCCTCTCGTCCAATTCCAGCTTGGATCGACTCCAGCCCCCCAGTGACCCGAACGGGAAAGAGTGCTAAAGATGATGGATGAATGGTTGGTGGGGCTGGATGGCATGGCACTTAGGTTGTTCGCCCCATGTACAGAGGTTATAGTCTTCGTCGCAGCACCCGTTGGTTCGGGTTTGGCCTCGGCCCTTTGCTGCATGATGTCCCCCCCACTCTCTCCTCCCAGCATTTCCTGTCTCTCTTCAGCTGTTCTATCCATTGGAGGCCCAAAAAGACAAATTAGTTAACTTCACACTTGCTGAAATCTGCTTAACTAAACTATTTTCTACCAATTACCTGCTATTTTCCCCAAAACCCTACTCCAAAGTTTATGCTTCATTTCCCCCCAACAAGAGAATGTGGGATCATTTTTCTTCTTAGAGGTTTAGCATTTTGAGCCTAAATTGCTGCTCTTTCAACACTGATAGGAGCTCCTGCTAAAAGTGGTACGAGTGAAACCATCTCTGGGGTTGCATCATCTGGACTTTCAGCAGACGTTTCTCTCTCGATCACCTCAGTCATGTTTGTGAACTGAATAAGAAAACATCAGCATTGTGACTCATGTGTTGCCACATTCAGACTGCCCGGTCTCGAACGTGTGCTGAACTCTTACTGATCTGCCAGCAGTGGAAGATTGGAAGAGAAGGCTCTTTGATTTTTTTTGCTTAAGTTTCAAAATGTTTGTCTAGAGAGCTTCCAGTCAGTCAGCAGATGCGCTTCATATTTTCTAAAGGGCATTTTGTACAAAAGGATCATCTTAATTCAGTTAGAAATAATTCATAGCAATAATTTTACCAGGATCGCTCGGCTGTATTTACATCTATCCAAGGGTTAGATAAATATGATTGAAAATAACTCGTACAAATTATTCCAACATCGATGTATCATATCACATTTTTAGTTTTACTACCAGTGTGTGTTTCTGTGTGTGTCTGTGTGTGTGTGTGTGTGTGTGCATGTTTGTAATCCCACAGCTATCATCACTACACTTGCTCTGTCCGCTGAGTTAAAGAATAAAATCCAATAGACCTGCTCTTGACTAGATCAGCGGTGTCATGGTGGTTTGAGGGTGGAGAAGAACAGACATGTTGGGGGTTGGTTTGTCACTGAAGGGAGAGGAGGGAGAGGAGGGAGGGAGGGAGGGAGTGAGGGAGTGCCTGGACATTTGTGTTTTCTCCGCTTCACTGAGTGCTGGTAAGCGAGCCAGACATGGAGGGCAGGGATAGCCCAGCGTCAGTGACACAGGGGGGTGTGTGGACGGGTGTGCCTGGGGGGCAGGTAGAATGAAGGTGAAAGACGCAGACTGTGAGCCGTGGAGCAAGGCTTTGTTTGATCAGGTGCTCGAGAACAAAGCAATGATACGGGTTCAACCTGGTAAATCTAACCGGGTGGATCGGTTTTGTTTGGATTTTGTGCTCAGATTATTTTTTCTTTTGGCTTGTTTGTTCATCTGTTTCATCAAGTCTTATTGAATATGCAAAATGAAATCACTGAATCTCGTATACTACACTACAAACTTGTACCAATAGAACATGAAAAACGGGAAATAACTACTCATGGGGCTTTAGCTAGAAGATGTTTTTTTTGTTATTATGGGTGCAATAATTAATTTTTAGTGATGATATCTACGATGACTGACAAGAATAAATGTACTACAAGATTGTCAATACGAGAAACTTGACGCAAAAAAAGAAAAAAACAATGCATAGAAGCGTATTGCATTCATATGAGAAAATAGAATTTGCTCTGTTTCTGAATTAATGAGATATCGGTACCTTAACATCCTGACAGAAGATCTAATTTAGACCAACTTAGAGTAGCAAACATTC